TACCCTTCCCACGTGTTTCCCTATTACTATTCACCGTCACCACATGCCTAACTGTATTCATCAGAGTCCACCGCGCCAATCAACCCAAAACAACAATAGGGTTGAATTTCTAGGCTACACTTGGGACTGGAAGGTTTTCCTTTCTCCTTTTGATCTTTGACCAAGGTCATTGTTGTGAAACTAGTTCCTCAGACACCGATAACTATTTTGACTAAGAGTCCCTCCCAACAATTTCTTCCCAAGGTTTGAAGTTTGAACCTTGGTCATCCCTTGGAAGTCAGATGGCTTATCACCACACACAAAATGCAATAAGCTTCTTCATGAGTTAAAATTAGTTTATACATAAGTTATTTGTAGAAACACTCTTCTATTAACTTATCCAAAATCTTATTTTTAATTTATGTATAAACTAGTTTTAAATTATGGAGAAACTTATTTCAATTTTTCTTCCTATTTTCTCTCCTAGAAATACTTCAGGCCCTTATTCATTTCTACTTCAACGGTTCATATATTAATAATGCATTACACAACCAGTAATGAAAGTGCAGGAAATCATGGAAGGAGTGAACTGCTCTCCTAATCATCTCAAATTTTCACGCTAAGATGATTACAGAACCCATTCAGAATATGCTCAAGTGAACCTAATTGAAAGCATGGAGTTGACTTTTATACACATGCAGTGGGAAAAAAGAATAAGCAAAGGTTTTTACCTTGTCAAAAACGGGAAATTCAGCCTTGAAGCGAGTGCAAACAAACTCTTGTATCTGTTCGTTAGATCCAGGCTCCTGTGCCCCAAACTGATTGCATGGAAATGCCAGAATTTCCAGACCTGAATAAAGAAGATCAAGGCTTTCAGAAAGATGAAGGGACCCCATAATATGTTACTTGCTACTTGCTTGAAGCCTAAAACTACAGGATACTTATTTAAGTGTTGTATAATAATAGTACATACAGGCAAGTAGTTCAATCATGCTACTGAGACAAGCAGTGACACAATGACACTACCGCAAGAAATAAGATAGCAATAAACACAACAATGAAAGAGGCAACAAGAAAAAACAAACAAACGAGAAGGACAACAATGGTAACAGTATAAGAACCGAAGACAAACAAACCTTTCTGTTTGTATTTCTCATACAACTGACTCAGCTCTGTGTAATTTGAATTAGTCAAACCACTGCATCAAACATTGAATCAACATCAAAACATAGCATAAACAATTAAATTGGAACAAAATTTAGGGCAAAATTTGTTCAATTTCAAATCAGGGTAAATTTTAAATTATAAAACATAACTAAAAACATAATTATGATCCAGCTCTCTCTCACAAGCTTCCCCTCCTATGTACTTGATTAAATGAAAATTGGGGAAATATCATACCATTGGGAGGCAACATTGACAATCAAAAGGACCTTCCCTTTGTAGTCAGCAAGATTAATATCATTTCCCTTGGCATCCTGTAAAACAGAAGAAAAAAAAGGTTAATAAAAAAATCTTAAATTTATATGCATATGGAAAAAAAAAGGAAAAAAAAAAAAAAGCAACATACTTTAACGGTGAAATCATGGACTGATTTGGTGGTTGAGGTGGCCATGGTGTGATCGGTTCTCAAAGAGAAAGACAAAGGCGTTGAAGGGAGTAGTTTGAATGAAGTGTGAAGAGGAGAAGAGAGGGTGGGTTTGGGATTGGAGAAGAATCGAAGAGAAGAAGAAGAGGAAGATGGTAATGTTATAGTTGCGGTGCGGAAAAAGATGCGAGTGGCTGTAGTAGAAAGCATTGGCGATGATTCTCCGCGTAGCGCTTGGGTCTTCTTATTGTTATTGTGGTTGGGTCCAGTTTGAGGATTCCGTGGTTGTATTGTGAATTGTGTGAACCACGTGGGTTTGTGTCTGTCCGCAGATGCTGAAGACGTGGATGCAGATGGAGCCTTCACGTGTCCGAGTCTACTTAATAAGGTTTCGTCGATGCACATCACCACTTACGTCATTGTTCTTTTCAATTCTCGGTTACGAAAATAAACCTCCACAATTCCATTACATTTTTAAAGGAAATTTGGTGTATTGAATATTTGAATTATGATTTTAAATGACTTTTTTAGTTGAAAAAAGTCTATGAATTTTAAGAGACTTTGCAAGATTTTTATGATTTTTAAGATTTTGTAGGATTTTACATGATTTTTAATTAGGATTTTAATAAATTATGTAAGACTTTTAAGTTAGGATTTTAATAGATTTTGAATAAATGATAATAATTTTTTGTAATATCATGTCGTTCTAAATAGAATTCACCCACATATTCATAACTATACTAGTTCTCCAAACATTAATATCTTTTCGTTCTTGTTCCTGTGTTTTAATAATATGCTCAAAATTATGATTTTCATTAACAAGTAATGTTGAAGATGAAGGTTTGTCCATCACTTCAATTAAAAATTCATTATAATGACATTCTTTACGAAGAAAGTTATGTAGTCCCAACCATGCTAAAAACTATTCTAAACAACAATTCAATTTTTTTATAATTTGTGATTTAAAATATTTTATTTATAATTTTATAAATGATTAAAAAAAGTAGTGGGACAACTACCCTACTCTCTTATAACTAAATATGTCCCTTCATTTTATATTAGTACTAAAGTAAAATTTTACAAACATCAATTGGGAGAAAAAAAATATTTGAAATTTGTTATAGGTACAAAATAATTTTTTAAAATTTTTAATTGCTTTCAATTATTCAATCATGAAGAAATATTTTTAGTATTGAATTATAAGATACTGCAATGTCTTATGTTAATTTTCTTTTTTAAAATATAAAAATCTTAATTTCATAATATAAAAAATTAAAATAAATAAATAAAATAATTGTTGAGTATAAAAGGGAATGATAACAACCCTAAGCGTGTGGTTCAGCGGTAGGGGTTGATCCACGCTTAAGCAAGGTCAGGGGTTCGAATCCTGCCTTGTGTATGCAGCCGAGTTAAATCTTGGGGCCAGCTATCCCACCCTTTGAGGTGCAGTGTTCTTCTCCTAACTAAAATCCATTCTTATCTCATTCTATTTACAGAAACTCTAACTCAAATTCATCTTTTACATATATATATATATATATTTTGTTCTAATAAATCTAAATTGATTACAAGGTCTTGAAGATCTATAGTTGATTATAGAGATAATGATATCAATTTTTAAAAAATTATTACTTAAAAGTTAAAATTTCAAGTGTTTTTTGTGTTATATAACTGAGGAACAATCTAAATTAAATAGACCAAAATAGAGCAAGTCAATTAAAGAGAACGGAGAGAAAAATAGAGCAAGTTAATGACACTATCATTTACATATAGAAATTTTACCAAATAAGAAAATGGAATGAGAACAGTAATACAATATTATATATAAGTAGTAGTGCAATATTATTAACAAGAAAAAAAAATGAAGAAAACAGAAGCATAGAAAAAAAAATAAAAAACTCACTTGAAAATTCTTGAAACACTTGAAAAGTCACTTCAAACAATCCTCGAAAGTCTTATGGGTTTGGATGAGATTGTTTTATGAATTTGGTATTTATAAATACCACTAAAAATTTCATCAAAATCTCTCTAATACAACAATCCTTTAAAATTCCTATATTTTTGAATACCAATGAATTATTTTTAAGTCGTAAAAAGTCTCAAATGAATACTAATGAATTTTAATGGACTCTTTAAAAAATCTTAAAAATTTTGATTGAATACCAACGAACTTTTTTACTCAAAAAAAGTATTTTAGAATCCTATAAAATCCTAAACCAATACACCCCCTTTAAAAGTGATGAAACATGAAAGTCACATGCAATTGAAATTTTTTTAATGTTTAATTAGAGTTTATTTACATCTTGTTTTTACGTATAAAATAGTTTTCATATTTTAAATTTTTTTTAATGATTTAATTTATGTATTAAAGAATTTAAATTTAATAATTATATTTTTAAATTTAATGTAAAATATAAATTATTAAATTAAAAAAAATTAAATCGATTTATTCTTGAGAATATTTGATGGGGAAGAAATTAGTTTTTTCACCTTTAAAAATCATGATTCAAGATAATTATAAATCATGAGAATCATGATTCCTAAAAATAATTAAAGTCTATTTAATTACTCACAAAGATTTATGAAAATATTTATATAAAATTTTTAATATTAAAAACTTTCAAGTTTAGTTATAATAGTACATTTCTGGATATATAAATATTTTTTATAAAAATACTTTAAAAAAATAATCTTATTAAATATATTTATTTACTCAACTTTTATTATCAATTTGACATTAAGTATTTTTATGGTCTAATTAGTTTTTGAAATTAATAAAAAATTAATTATATATATAACTTTTTTATATAATAATATTTTTATTTGATAAAACTTAAATTATTTTCTAAAAGTTGAAAATTTATAATAAAACTATTTAAATATAAAATTCAATGAAAAATAAAAAAAATGTTACGTTATAACTAAGAAGAATAAAATAAATTATTTCATTTTATTTAAAATAAATAAATAAATAATTTTAACAAATATTATTAATTTGTAGAAACAAAATAGATCATAATAATATTATTAAGATTAGTAGGGTCAATAAATAATGAGATATAAGATGTGAGAGAGAAAGAAAGAGATGAGGAAGGGAAGTGAGAGTTAGAGAGAAGTGACATAGAGAGAGATGAAAAAATATAAATAGAAGGAGAGAGAGCGAGACAAATGCTTTAAAAAGATAAAATTTAACTACATTTTCTATTTTAAAAAGAAAGATTGTGATTTTTAAAATAATTAAAACTTTCCCTTTTTTAAATAGATACCAGATATGAAAAATTAACATTTCCTATATAGGATTTTCAGGAAATTAAAAAATTCTTCACCAAATGTCCCTCTGGAGTAAGTGAATATCTTCTCATATAATAACGACGTCAAAATATATGAATCATTTATTGAAAAAATATGTTTTGGTAAACTTACTTCACTCAATAATTTATGTTTTACATTGAATTTTAACACTCAAACATTATATTAAAAGTTTGTAATGTACAGATAAAATATATTAATTTTAAAACGATTGGAAATCATATGACACTTAGTATCGTTAATTTAAATTGATGGATAATCATAAAAGTATTTTTATATGTTAATTTGAATTTATATAATGAAGTATTATATAATTTTCAAATTTTATAAAAATTATAGACTTGATTTATATATCATATTAATAATTTTAATTCAACAGTTAAATAATTAAAATTTGATATAAAACGCGAGTTAGTGAATGAAGAAAGTTTAATAGAATTTTTTTTGAAGTAAGTAAATCCTTCTTCCTCCTCCTCCTTCTCTCTCTCTATCTATCTATCTATCTCATAATTTTAAAAACCGGACAGGTTATCGACCGGTTAAGGTACTGGGTCAGTGGGTCAAAGATTGAACCGGTGGGTCACTAGTTGAACCGCATGACTCGATTTTTATTTATTTTATTAAAAAATATTCATATTAAATATATTTTATACTTATAAATTTTAATAAATTCATATCTTATTTTAAATTTTAAATTTTCTATCTTATTTAAAATTATTTTTATTTTTATTTTGTAAAAAAAAATAAAAAAAAGTTACATGTTAAACTGTATATTAATACAAATTAAAAATATAAATAATATGTACATATATAATATG